CACCGATCCTCCTGTGAAAACAAAGTTTGGTTACCACATCATCATGGTTGAAGGCAAAAAGTAAATGGACTGAACAGCTTTTGCATTTGATTAATCTGCAACACAGCATTTTGCGGTCATGGAATATTGGAATTTTTTAATATGACCATGTGAATAGCAGCCAATAAAATTGATCTTAATGAGCAAACTGTTTTGATTAATGTTTTTTTTACCCACAAATTTTGTTGTAGCATCATATTTGGGGAAGTCGTGGCCTAATGGTTAGAGAGTCAGACTCGTAACCCAAAAGTTGCAGGTTCGAGTCTCAGGTCCGGCAGGAATTGCACAGCGCTCTCTTCCACCTTCAATACCACGACTGAGGTGCCTTTGAGCAAGGCACCGAACCCCCAACTGCTCCCCGGGCGCCGCAGCATAAATGGCTGCCCACTGCTCCGGGTGTGTGTGTGTTCACGGTGTGTGTGTGTGTGTGTGTGTGTTCACTGCTGTGTGTGTGTGTTCACGGTGTGTGTGTGTGTGTGTGTGTGTGTGTGTTCACTGCTGTGTGTGTGCACTTAGGATGGGTTAAATGCAGAGCACTAATTCCTAGTATGGGTAACCATACTCGGTCACATGTCACGAATATTTCCAATAAGTCTTACTGATGCTGTACTGCATAAGTACATTTTTTTAAACTACAGAACAAGAATATTATATTAATATTACATCCTGAATTATATTACTACCCTGAAACACCAAATACATGCTCCTACTTCACAGTCTAGATTCTAGATTAGGATTTTACAATTCGCTTTTTACCATTATTTGCTTATTATTTATTTGTTTCTGATACTACAGAACATGAAATGTGTGTCTTAAGTGTGTTATTGCTAATATTATCACTAGAACTATTATTGTCGTGACCTGAAGTGCACTGGCAGTAACAGGAAGTCGCTTTTGCTTCATTGTCTAGACTACTATTGGCTGAAAAATATGGAGTCAGATGACGCAATATTTCCGGGTGTGACAGCACGCGCTGGAGGTAACTGCCGGTCATTGCGCTCGGCAGCGAGAGACTCGAGCGCCCGATCCGGCTGTGAAGAAGGTAAGAGACTAAAAGCCGGGGAGAGACTACATTACTGTAATCTCTCACCTCAGTGATGCTTAACGAGGGGATTGTTTTTCTTTTTTTTTTTCTTGTTTACTGCGACAACTTCATAGATGGCTGAAAGAGATAAAGGGGACGCTAGCTGGCTAACAGCAGGCTGTTTCACCACATCTGAATATTACACGTCATTACTTGGTCTGAATGAAGCTTAAAGTGTGTAAATATTGTTTTAATACATGATGAGTTAATGTGATGGAAAAGCATGTCTTGGCTGTGATGATGATGCGTTTGACGAAGAGCGCCTTCATCATCATCATCTTCTTCTTCTTCATCACATTCAAATGATCAGACTAGGCGGAATAAAAGAGCTGTACCGGGTTCCATTAATCAGAGAGATCTGGGTGAAGTCGAGCGTTTCATTGATCATAACGAGCCATTTCCACAGTGATGGACTGAACACGTGTAGCTGCGTCTCGAGTGCTAGAGCCGAGATGGCATTTTGAATTTCTACAATTGTATCGGTTTTATTATCGAAGATTATTAGATCAAGTCCCCTTTATTAATGTTTTCTGACATGTCTAACGTTATCTGACCTTTAAACCTACATGTTACAGATAGTTAGACTTTCTAAAGTGGAACTGGCATGACAACATCATCAGTGGGTTATGTTAATATTTGTATAAGAACTGCCACTCAGTAGCATTATTGATGTGTACTTTGAAAGTGTACGTTCAGGTCAACCTGACACAAGGTCTTGTCCTTTTAGTAAACAGAGGTCGGTTTGTAAAAGATGATGATAAATGCTACAAAGATAATAGGATCTGATCCAGGATCCAATCAATCTATTCCAGTCCGCTGTGTGTCCACCTGCTTAAGATCTGACCCGGGTGAGCTGGAGGGATTGATATCATTGGCTGTCTTCTCAACTGACCACTCTCACCAGGCTTTAGGGTTCACATTGAGTATAACCTTTGTACAGGGCAGATTAAAAAAAAATTGCACCAGTCAGCCAGCATCAACATTTGTCTCTTCGTAAGTTAATTTGTTATTAGGTCATGTAATTACCTTTGGAAGAGCAAGGGAAGAGCTTTCATTAATTCGATATTCCTAGAGTAAAGGTACGTGAATGAAAGTATATGACATTTAATTGTAGATACTCCATTTTTCCTGTTTTTACATTAGATGATGGTAAGGGTAATGTTTTTTAATTAACACTGTTAAATGCTAATTTGAGCAAATAGTAGTGATGTCTAAATTCATTTATAGCATTTCAAATTTGAGTTGATTTGAGTTTTTATACCAACATTTTTTATGAATATCAACAATTTATTGATTATTTACCATAACATAAAAATCATTATAGACTTATTGCCAGAATTTTAAAAACGCTGGATCCGTAATGTGCGTTATATTTGTATCAGCTTTGTCCAGTAAAGTTGGTGGTCTTTCTTACACTTATAATTTAATAACAGTGTTAAATGTTCTATTTAGCAAATCACAAAATGAATAACTATGTGAAACATTCAAATCTTGATGTCTACATTCACTACTAGCATTTAAAAATGGTTTATTTTTTAGTGTTTTTATTTAGACAAAAAAAGTTCAGAAATTACATTTCGGCCTCTAAAAAAGCACTAGTTGACCAGTAGGTGGTCTTTCTTATATTAGAATAGCAGACTTTTGTTTTGCTCAATCGGTGAACTTCATATCAGGTTGTGGATTGTGTCAACATCACATGCCATTTCGCCAGAGCTGATCACGACTTGATCTCTGTACCAAACTATTGTTAGCATAAACAAACGAGAGAGATTACTAGCTGCCATAGTAAGGGGGCTTTGGTTATCTGCTGTTATTGAGTGTCTGCCTGAGTCAGTGGACTATGTCTTACATTAACCTTCTGCCTTTAGCTCATACTTTTGCAACAGACCCCTGCAGTTGGTCACACTCGTCATCACCGTCAGTAAGGACTTGTGTTTAGAGGGATCCATTTTCATAGACAATGCACAGCTTGGCAGCACAGTAACAGGACGATGAAAACCTATGTAAATTGTGTACTGGTTGTAACAGAAGTGTTAAGGTGATGTTGTTCCTGTTGTATCCATTTATGGGCAACTCATTTCTACTTCCTTAATCTGACACCAGTCATGTGATCAAGAGATGACCTTTATCTTCATGACTCTTGAAATAGTTATCTTAAGCCAGAGGTCACTTACGTGGCTAATGACAGAGATAAAGTCTTTCTGCTAAACTCAATGAAACAGATTTCTGTTAATTATTTTGGGTGTTTCCTTTGAAATCTAACCCATGGCCTTGGCATTGCAGCAACTGGAACAGTAGATAGAACAAGTGTGTCAAGTTTCTTCTATGACGTTAATAGATGTGTGGTAATATCATGTAATTTTGTTCATCAGTCCACCCTGTCTTTAGGCTAGGGCAGCCTTCGCAGGATGTTTGTGACTTTATACTAGTCGTTAATTGAGAACCAGAGAAACACTATTCTCTGGCCAGGAATGTGTCTTTTCTGTGGCACATGTGACCAAGCCTCGCTTGTCCCATAAACAGAATACAGACTGTTCCGCTTGAAGCCTCAAACATGTTTTTCTCATAGAAATGTCTCGTAGGTTTGTGTTTTAGATGAGTACACTTGAATAACATGCATTCCCTTTGATTGTGATTTTCATCAGGTTGCACATTTTGGAGCCACATATTGGACTCTTTCCTTATCTTTCTGAACTTCGATCCTGGGATCCTCAGTTGGACACAGGGCAACAACAAACTCGCTCTGTTCCAGGCTTCGCCTGATCCCTTCCATCTTTCAGTCCCCTTCAGCTTCTCAGCAGACGTGCGTCTGAACATGGACCCGAGTGCCGTTCTCTTGTTCCCAGTGCATGCAGTAGTATGGCTCTACTCCCTCTTGAGCTTTCTACCATGGTACTTCCTGACTGGAGCCCAGAAAAAGAAAGCCCTGGCAAAGAGAGTCAAATCCAGGTCAACCACCGGTCGGGCTGAAGGGCCGTATCGAGCCGTGGATCGCTTCGACTCCCTGGTCACGGAGGACTTTCCTGGAAAAGACACCCTAGATAAGCTGTTTGACTATGCGGTGGAGCGTTTCGGAAAAGCGGACTGCCTGGGAACCAGAGAAGTTCTGAGCGAAGAAAATGAGACTCAGCCGAATGGGAAGGTCTTCAAAAAGGTACATCCTCCTCGGACATATTCTGTACGGCTGTGATCACAATGCAAGCCAAAGTGTCCAATTCTAATTTTCTGCTTTAATCCAATTCATTTAGTGAGGTTGTTCACATGACCTTTGTAATTTAGCTTATATCATGCGCTGGTCTAAACAAGTGACTCTCCTAAACTGGCCTGTGTGCATAAAGTATGATAATAGTTACATCTTAAACAAATTTTATTTATAAATGTGCCCAACTGTTTAAAGGTTTGGGGTCGTAAGATATTTTTGTTTCTTAAAAGAAGTCTTTTACTCTAACCAAAGCAGCATTTATTTAATAAAAATACAGTAAAACGGTAAAATAGTGAAATATTACAATTTGAAATAACTGTTTTCTATTTTATTATATTTTAAAATGTAATTTATT